GTCTCTATTTATACCCCCACACCTGTAACCTGCACTCCTGTCTCCACCAGAACACTGTAACCTTTATGTCAGTCTCTATGTATACCCCCACACCTGTAATCAGCACTCCTGTCTCCACCAGAACACTGTAACCTTTATGTCAGTCTCTATGTATACCCCCACACCTGTAACCTGCACTCCTGTCTCCACCAGAACACTGTAACCTTTATGTCAGTCTCTAGTTATACCCCCACACCTGTAACCTGCACTCCTGTCTCCACCAGAACACTGTACCATTCATGTCAGTCTCTATGTATAGCCCCACACCTGTAATCTGCACCCCTGTCTCCACCAGAACACTGTACCATTCATGTCAGTCTCTATGTATACCCCCACACCTGTAATCTGCACTCCTGTCTCTACCAGAACACTGTACCATTCATGTCAGTCTCTATTTATACCCCCACACCTGTAACCTGCACTCCTGTCTCCACCAGAACACTGTAACCTTTATGTCAGTCTCTATTTATACCTCCGCACCTGTAATCAGCACTCCTGTCTCCACCAGAACACTGAAACCTTTTATGTCAGTCTCTATTTATACCCCCACACCTGTAACCTGCACTCCTGTCTCCACCAGAACACTGTAACCTTTATGTCAGTCTCTATGTATACCCCCACACCTGTAACCTGTGCTCCTGTCTCCACCAGAACACTGTAACCTTTATGTCAGTCTCTATTTATACCCCCACACCTGTAACCTGCACTCCTGTCTCCACCAGAACACTGTAACCTTTATGTCAGTCTCTATGTATACCCCACACCTGTAACCTGCACTCCTGTCTCCACAGAACAGTGTAACCTTTATGTCAGTCTCTATATATACCTCCGCACCTGTAACATGCACTCCTGTCTCCACAGAACACTGTAACCTTTATGTCAGTCTCTATGTATACCCCCACACCTGTAACCTGCACTCCTGTCTCCACCAGAACACTGTACCATTCATGTCAGTCTCTATGTATACCCCCACACCTGTAACCTGCACTCCTGTCTCCACAGAACAGTGTAACCTTTATGTCAGTCTCTATTTATACCTCCGCACCTGTAACATGCACTCCTGTCTCCACAGAACACTGTAACCTTTATGTCAGTCTCTATTTATACCCCTGCATCTGTAACATGCACTCCTGTCTCCACAGAACACTGTAACCTTTATGTCAGTCTCTATTTATACCCCCACACCTGTAACCTGCACTCCTGTCTCCACAGAACACTGTAACCTTTATGTCAGTCTCTATTTATACCCCCACACCTGTAACCTGCACTCCTGTCTCCACCAGATCACTGTAACTTCATGTCAGTCTCTATTTATACCTCCACACCTGTAACCTGCACTCCTGCCTCCACAGATCACTGTAACTTCATGTCAGTCTCTATTTATACCTCCACACCTGTAACCTGCACTCCTTTCTCCACCAGAACACTGTAACCTTTATGTCAGTCTCTATTTATACCTCCACACCTGTAACCTGCACTCCTGTCTCCACCAGAACACTGTAACCTTTTATGTCAGTCTCTATTTATACCCCCACACCTGTAACCTGCACTCCTGTCTCCACCAGAACACTGTAACCTTTATGTCAGTCTCTATTTATACCTCCATACCTGTAACCTGCACTCCTGCCTCCACCAGAACACTGTAACCTTTATGTCAGTCTCTATTTATACCTCCACACCTGTAACCTGCACTCCTGTCTCCACCAGAACACTGTAACCTTTATGTCAGTCTCTATTTATACCTCCACACCTGTAACCTGCACTCCTGTCTCCACCAGAACACTGTACCATTCATGTCAGTCTCTAGTTATACCCCCGCACCTGTACACATCTCCATGCACCTGTATTCATGTCTCTAAGAATACACTTTTACTTTCAAATTGACAAACTCACTAAAAATAACTACACTTTTATTCTGACATGAAAACATATACACAAATGCACGGGAGGTATGGGTAGCTGTTAATTATTTACACACAACGTATATAGAACTAAAGGTACACGTTAAATATTTACTTACTGGCACACAACGTACATAGAACTAAAGGTACACGTTAAATATTTACTTACTGGCACACAACGTACATAGAACTAAAGGTACACGTTAAATATTTACTTACTGGCACACAACGCATATAGGACTAAGGTACACATTAAATAATTACTTACTTACACACAACGTATATAGAACTAAAGGTACACGTTAAATATTTACTTACTGGCACACAACGCCTTTAGAACTAAAGGTACACGTTAAATATTTACTTATTGGCACACAACGTATATAGAACTAAAGGTACACGTTAAATATTTACTTACTGGCACACAACGTACATAGAACTAAAGGTACACGTTAAATAATTACTTACTGGCACACAACGTATATAGAACTAAAGGTACACGTTAAATATTTATTTACTGGCACACAACGCCTTTAGAACTAAAGGTACACGTTAAATATTTACTTACTTTCACACAACACATATAAAACTAAAGGTACACGTTAAAGATTTACTTACTTTCACACAACACATATAAAACTAAAGGTACACGTTAAAGATTTACTTACTGGCACACAACGCATATAGAACGAAAGGTAACTGTTACAGATTTAATTACTTACACACAACGTATATAGAACTAAAGGTAATTGTTAAATATTTAATTACCTACACACAACACATATAAAACTAAAGGTACACGTTAAAGATTTACTTACTGGCACACAACGCATATAGAACGAAAGGTAACTGTTACAGATTTAATTACTTACACACAACGTATATAGAACTAAAGGTAATTGTTAAATATTTAATTACTTAAACACAACGTATATAGAACTAAAGGTAATTGTTAAATATTTAATTACCTACACACAACTTATATAGAACTAAAGGCACACGTTAAAGATTTGCTTACTTCAACAGTGCTTACATAGTACTAAAGGTTATTGGTAAGAATTTGCTTACTTGCACACAACGTGTATAGAACTAAAGGTAACTGTTACAGATTTACTTACTTGCACACAACTTATATAGAACTAAAGGTAATTGTTAAAGATTCAATTTCTTACATACAACTTATGTATAACAAAAAGGTAATTGTAAAATATTTACTTACTTGCACACAACTTATATAGAACTAAAGGCAATTGTTAAAGATTCCTTTTCTTACATACAACTTATGTATAACAAACAAGTAATTGTAAAATATTTAATTACTTGCACACAACTTATATAGAACTAACGGCAGACGTTAAAGATTTAATTACTTACACACAACTTATATAGAATTAAAGGTGAGTGTTAAAGATTAAATTTCTTACAAACACCCTATATATAACTAAAGGTAAATGTAAAATACTTAATAACTTAGACACAACCTATATAGAACTAAAGGCACACTTTAAAGATTTACATCTTACATAGAACTAAGGGTAATTGAAGATTTACTTATATGCACACAACCTATATAGACATATAAGTGTCTGTACTGAGTTCCATTTCAAGCCACAAAGTTGTCGTTATTTAACATAGATAAACACACCATTATTGTTCATTTGAAACAATACTGTTATCAAAAGATAGATCAACATTTATACAATGGAAGGTGCAAGTCAATAGTACGACCATGGTGAACACTGACGTATCTGTATGCTTACTATAAGAGCACACACAGAACATTTGCGTGTCTGAAGGGTTATCATCACATCTCATTGTCACGTCAGATATAGAGATATTTTATCACATGGCCATCATACCATCAAGGGCCAGGACAACATTCACAAATTTTAAAGTGAGCGCATCTGAAGCGAAAGCGTTGTGCTAGTACAGTGCTTGCAAGGTTTTGTATTGCTAGATATATTTGCTCTGTGCTAGAGTTTTCACTTAATGTTGATCCATTTCAGTTCCGGTAAAAAGTATGAAGTGAAGTAAGGTTACAACATCTAGACTCTCCAACTATGATTACCGACACAAAACATACATGTTGTAGCAACTACCGACATATAAATGCAACGCATAAGTGGCAATTTAACATCTTCTTTATCAATAAGGACTAATTAAGCTATTAAGTTAATATTTTATAAACAATTGTACAGGACATTTGATTACATATTCTTATGCGGTTACAGATTGCCCTTCGGCTGTCTATATGATTCCGAGATCATATATAGGTATACATAATTATGTATTGGACACATTCATCACTGGACTTCCGCATCTGTGTGTGGAAAATGTTTCCAGAGAACCTGCTAGGCAATGTGAGTCAAATATAAAAAAATGTATTTGTATGAAATAAGATGAATTATTGAGGTGATAATCAGATATTGATATTGGTAATGAGGCTATCTGTTCGTATACAATATTATGTCACTGTTTTATATTAATAGCACACACTTGTCAACCTAACCTGCCTAGTTCTAGCTGTCGAACCTGTAACTGTATTTGACTATAATACACCTGGTCTTTGAACGGCATTTAGATGTCATACAAATAAGAGAGACAATTCATGAATACCAACTTCTCTAATATGAGGAACACGTTTCGAAGTATATGCTTAGACCTTATCAAGTTGTCAGGTTATAAGCATATACTCCGAAACGTGAACATTAAGTTGACATCCACCGATTCTTTCTCTTTAACGCCTCTGCTTCAGTGCTTAGACACTCCTGTGTCAATGCGGGAGGAAACCTGAGCCGGTTTACATTTTGTTGAAATCAGCAAACATGGATATGGTTCTTACAAACCAAGAATACTACCAATAATGACATCTGAGGGACACAACGTCTTCGACTGGACCATCCGTAACGAAACCTTTCAATAACGATGCAAAAGTGCCCTGAACACAAAACGCTATGAGCGTTCAGGATTATTATGGAAGAGAATATATGGATGTCAACGTCTTTATTAAGAGGAACACAACGTTTCGGAGTATATGCATACTCCTTCACGAGGTGAATGAATGCCATGAGGCAGAGAGCATATATATGTACATGTAAGGACAACAAACTTGATAAGATTACCAATTACTTATCTATGATAACTTAAGTGTAAGCTTCTGTTTGCTTCCTTTGTTGGCTTCTACCCTTTGTTATTTTCCACCTTTTGTTAAGGGCATCCATATACTCTCTTCCTTATGCGTATCACTTCTAAATGCCTTTCAAAGACCAGTTCAGGATTGTTGCTCTTATCTAGCGACGCATGCACGTGAGGGTGGGTGTGGGTGTGTGGGTGTGGCTGCTTCTATTAGTGTGGACGAATGCCAATTTTATATTGTCAGTCCACGAAAAACATTTCGCAGTTAAACATGAATACCGACTCAGACACGCTTAATGCTGAGAGCCAGGCAGGGTGACAACAAGAACCATCTTTTAACGTCGTTTGGAAAGACGCGACCGGGGATCGAACCCCGACCTTCCTCTCTCCGGGCGGACGCTCTTCCCTCAAACCACGGAGGCGACCAAGAACGCTATGTCATGTTGTGTATACAGATGAGTACCATGTCCCTCCACATATTAGCGTTGTGTTTCCCGCACATGGACGTTGACAGTTGTTCTCATCATCTCTGATGTGACCAGTTGGAATAGAGTTGCCACAGAAGCACTGATTTCCTGACTGAAAACAAAAATAGTCAAATCTCCAAAAGTTGTCACTATTAATATATTGAACCGCAACAGAAAAGTCACCCCAAGTAAACATTGCATGAAAAGTTGTCATTTAAATATCTGGGTAATTCTTGTCAAAGTTTCTACCTTGTCCGGATATAAGAAATTTGATAATATAAAAACAAAGCAGATGACAATAAGCCCGATCGCCCAAACTCATCACGGTAACGGCCATGGTAACCCGATGCACGTGAGTTCCGTGCAAATTGAAATGCACATGCGTTCCCCCATTTCTTGCCCTATAAAAATCCACCCAGATCGGGTAACATTCATTCGTTATTGAATTGCTACCACGTGCCCAGATCGACAAGAAATCAGCGACATCAAGCCCTTGGACGATTGCAAGTTGGACAAACTGCCCGGCAAGTAGCCATTGCATTTCAAGTCAACATAAGGACCATATACAGGCTCCAGCAACGGTACCAGACCACCAACACTACAGATGAACGACCACGTAGTGGAAGACCAAGGGGTCACTAACCGACGTCAGGATCGTCAGATTGTGCGACAGCATCTTCAGGGATCGCTTTGTTACTGCTGCGGAAACTGCTCGACAGACCATGGGGACACACCTCCACTGTCACAGGCCACACCAAGGACCCATTCTGACACCACATCATCGCCGGGACCGTCTTCAGTGGGCACCACAGCACCAGCATTGCGCCACCAGCAGTGAAGAGGCCTCTTCTCAGACGAAAGTCGTTACTGTATCTCAACAGCAGATGACAGAGAGTCTTGCGACGCCGTTATTTGGATGCTTGTGTTGTTGAGAGAGACCCGTAGGGTGGTCCGAGCATCATGGTCTTCCAGAACATGGATTCAGTGTTGTCACAGCAGCTCGGTACATTGATCAAATCTTGAGACCACACGCCACACCTCTTTTGGCACGTCGCCATAACCACGAGTTTCAGCATGATAACGCCCGTGCCCACACTGCGAGAGCAACACGGGACTTCCCCCAGAAGAAAGGCATCAGAACCATGCAGTGGCCTGCCCTCAGTCCCGATATAAATCCCATTGAACACCTACGGGAGGAGATTCAAAGACGGCTGAATGACGTCTGAACAAGGCCGACAACTGCAGCTGAACTGCGTCAGGCGTTCCTCAGACTGTGGGCTCAAGTGCCTATGGCCTTTATCAACCGTCTCATCCATTCCATGTATCGACGTTGCACGGCAGTCATCAATGCACATGGCGGACACAGGGAATACTGATTTGTGGTGCCATTTTCTTAGGGACTAGTGTTGTGTTTAACTTTAAGAACATTTGACACTTTAATTTCAACCTTGATGATCAGTTTTGCCAAGTTTCATCTTTTTGATATGTCCTAAAGTATGTTCACAGTGTTTGGACCAATAAGGTTTCTCATATATCTAGCCATGGTGACGTTCCTTTGCGGTTCAGAATAGTTACAAATGATGATAAGATACGATGGAACATAAATACTTTTAACTGGTATCGTGAAGTGTGAAATTGTTTTTATTCAACAGTGCCCGAGACATGTAAGTTGTATACCTTCAGGAAAATTACTGCTCTGTTCTACAGTGCTTTGGACAGATACGTCGCTGGTTATATTTCCTGGCAATATATACACCAGTAGTTCTCTGTCCTGCAGTGGTTTAGACGGATGGCTGTACATCTCGGCGAAACATACATACAAACATACGCTGGCTTTACCTTGATGACTTACCTGAGTGCCCGCAAGTGCGTATCCCTCTGTTGTGCAGTACGCTGTACACACCTCTTGGGTCAAGCTTTGGCTTGAATATGGATGTGGCAATATACGTGCCGCGCTATCCTTAAAACAACCAAGATATTCTGTAATAAAAGAAGTTATATATTATCTGGTGCGCCATTGGTTGTTTGCTGCAAGAGCTATAGAACGATGATAGCCATGACATGTGAAGTTAATACCAAGTCTAGTGGTCTAAGGTGCCGCGATATGTGCCATAAACATTATCTAGCATACATTACTCTTCCTTGACATTATCCAGCATACAATACGTATCCTCAACACCCATTTCAATACATGTCATCAACATAGTCAAACATACAATGCGTGTCATTGACATTATTTAGCTTAATAAAATACGTGTCATTGTCATTATCTAGCACACAAGTTTCATTGACATTATGAAGCATACGATACATGACATCAACACTATCGAGGATATACTATGTGTCATTATCATTATCAAGGATGTAATACGTGTCATTAACACTATCCATGATACAATACGTGTCATTAAAACTATCCATGATGTAATACGTGTCATTAACGCTATCCAGGATAGAATACGTGTCAATAACATTATCCAGGATACAATACGTGTCATAAACACTATCCAGGATACAATACGTGTCATTAACACTATCAAGGATACGTCACGTGCCATTAACGCTATCCGGGATGCAATACGTGTCACTAACACTATCCAGGATACAATACGTGTCATTAACACTATCAAGGAGATAATACGTGTCATAAACACTATCAAGGATACAATACGTGTCATTAACACTATCCAGGATACAATACTTGTCATTAACACTGTCCAGGATACAACCTTGTCATTAATACTATCAAGGATACAAAACGTGTCATTAACACTATCCAGGATGCAATACGTGTCATTAACACTAACCAGGATACAATACGTGTAATTAACACTATCCGGGATACAATACGTGTCATTTTCACTATCAAGGATACAATACGTGTCACTGACAGTATCCAGGATACAATACTTGTCATTTACACTATCCAGGATACAATACATGTCATTAATACTATTAAGGATCAATACGTGACATTGACACTATCCAGGATACAATACGTGTCATTAACACTATCCAGGATAGAATACGTGTCATGAACACTATCCAGGATACAAACCGTGTCATTAACACTATCCAGGATGCAATACGTGTCATTGACACTATCAAGGATACACTACGTGTTATGAACACTATCCAGGATACAATACGTGTCATTAACACTATCACGGATACAATACGTGTCATAAATACTATCAACGATACAAAACGTGTCATTGACACTATCCAGGATACAATACGTGTCATTAACACTATCCAGGATACAATACGTGTCACACACTATCCAGGATACAACACGTGTCATTAACACTATCCAGGATACACTACGTGTCACACACTATCCAGGATACAATACGTGTCATTAACACTATTCAGGATACACTACGTGTCATTAATACTATTAAGGATACAATATGTGTCATTAACACTATCCAGGATAAAATACGCGTCACACACTATCCAGGTTACAACACGTATCATTAACACTATCCAGGATACACTACGTGTCACTAACACTATCAGGGATACAATACGTGTCATTAGCACTATCCAGGATACAATACGTGTCATTAACACTATCCAGGATAAAATACCTGTCATTTACACTATCAAGGTGATTAACACCATGTCATGTTAAGTGTCCATAGTCCATCATGTATTAAAATGTCAATATGCAAGGGGCAATAAAAACTCACTATTTCAATAAAACTAAAATCCAATGCAAGACTGAAAGAAAGCAAACATACACCATGTTTGCATTATTTAGGTGCGTGTAACTAGGAATAAATATAGAAATCTGCCTGAAGGCGATTGCCCGAACACAACCAACTTGTTCGTTTTGTCGATAGTCCATGTATTAACCTTTTTGTTTAATGGAGGAAAATATGAAGCAAACCTTGTTTTACCTTCGTGAGCTAAATGTGTTGTTTCTCTTATACGCGGTTTATAAAGGACATTATAGCTAAAATGGATAGAATTCTCATTAAACCGCCCGCATGTTATCAAAAATGAGCGGGCCACTGTAACTTGATAATGCCCTCATATTGCTTGACAACGGGCCATTATCACGTCCGTTGTTAGATGAGGCGATATTTGTTCAATAGTGACGTCATCTAGTTTGTTCTATGACGCTTCCATATTTGTAAAAGTGGGTCAGTGACATTCGTGTTGATTGCAGTAAATGTTTCAAAACCGATATTGTTGTTTCTTTTTTTTGATTACAAATTCCATCCATTTTAGCTATAATAACGGTAACGCTATTTTTCAGGGCATTATCATTTGCGGAAGCCTTCGGTCATTTCAACTGCCCTCCTTCGTCGGGCAGCTAATGGAAAACCTCAGGCTTCTGCAAATGATAATGCCCTGAAAAGTAGCGTTACCCTTATATTGTAGCTAAAATGGATAGCATTATGATTAACCTCCTGGATGTCAGAGGGACATACATATCCCTCCTCTACAACCCTTACTTTGAAGTCGAATAAAATTCAAAATCCATCACCCACACAAATACACTTCACAGTTTTGAATAAGGTGGGAAATTCCCCGTTCTGTGTTTTCATCCACTGGCATTTGAGGCCAAGCAAAAGTACTTTAAAATGACCTCTGAAAATTATAGGTACATCGTAAATGTCGCCATGTTTTACACATTACGAAATCACCACTAATGGTGTTATTTACAGCATGTTTTGAAATCTAAATTTCGGATATTTACTCGGAGAAATGAATTTCAAAAGTAGCATATTAGTGATCACGGGTATCTGTCTTGTATCAAATCACCAACGAGCATTCCAAAACGTCGCCGATAACCCTAGAATCGTTTAGAATGTTTTGGAAAATACGCAACACGAACGCTCATGTGAACTTTCCACCATATTGGAAAGTGTTTACAAAATCACGTTTCAGGTACACCGGTTGAGGCGCCTGTAACATCACGTATATTTCAAACTTAGCTGCGAAACATACATCCTTGAATTCCTCATACATTTCAGAATCAAATGACTAATGGTCACCAATACAAAGTGCCTAGATGAAATCAAGCAAAATAAATTAGGTGTGTAAACGTACGCTGTGTTCGAAAAACTGCACTTGTTTGAAATGTAAACAAAGCAAAATTCAGATTTTACACAGTGTAGCTTTTTCTCCTACTTTGAGCTATCCATTTGTCCTTTCGTTCACCAATGATCTTTCCAAAACGTCTCCTTTAACCCTATAATCGTTTGGAATGTTTTGGAAAATACGCAAACACGAACGCCGAAGTGAACTTTCCGCCATATTGGATAGTGTATACAAAATCACGTTTCATGTACACCGGTTGTGAGACGCCTATGATATCACGTATTTTTCAAACTTAGCAATACACACATCCTTGAATTCCTCATACATTTTAGAATCAAATGACCAATGGTCTTTGTCACCAATAGATAGTGGTTGGATGATATCAAGCAAAATAAGTTAGGTGTGAAAACGAACGCTGTGCTCGACAAACTGCACTTGTTTGAAATGTAAACAAAGCAAAATACAGATTTTAATACAGATTTTACACAGTGTAGCATTTTCTCTTATTTATTCGTCTATTCGTTCAAGATATTGGCTCAACATTTTCAGAATATGCATGGGAAGAGAATCGTAGGAAGAATTAGGGAATTTAAAATAGATACATTGCAGTGATTTGATATTTTCCACAGAAATTTTCAAAGTTACCGTCCTGTGTGACGCCATGACTGAATCGAGATTTTCCATACCATGAACGAAAATTAGGGGAGATTTATATTAATCAAAACACCAGTGTCGTCTTTCTCGCCATGACGTCAAAAAGAAAGGTGTTATTTTTTTGTATTTCATTCCATTTGATGTTAAGGCTAGAGCTGCATTAATATTGGTGCAACATTAGTCAAATTACACTTACACAATCAGGAGAATGTTGGAATCTAAGGACTAAGTTATAGGTTAGATAGGGCCATCCATTTCTCTATTACCTCGTTTGTATTAAGTACGATTTCATAATTTCTTATGTTTTTTAATAACTAAACGTATACAGTTTAAATATCGATATTTGTGTTGGAATAGTTTGGTTCCTGGTGAACAAAACACCACGAAAATATTTTTGTCCTTACCCAAAGCTAATTCTCACCAAGTGACCTGAGTTGCAATAAACGAGTGCTAAGCATAGCGGAGTTATGCCCCCTTTTCTTTGTACGTGCGTAACCTCTCTGTCGCCTTTTGACGTCATGAAGAAAAATCAGTTTTCGTCCTTTACGGCATGCTTTCTTTGGTATTGAATGTATGTCGATATACATACGCATATAACTCCATTTGATATATAGTTATGTCGTTCAGATATTAGGCAGTAATTGTTCGCTCACTGTTTCTGTAAAACCTCTAAATAAAAAAATCGTCGCACCGTACTTTAATCTGTGTACGATAAAAAGCGAAGAAATTTACTGTTTTCCTAAGCAGAATAAATTCGCGGACAACACTTAGAAGTGTATTTTTTTAAAAACTGGTTTATATTTGCCGTTACATTTACACCATTAAATAGGAAATATAATATTCTCCACCTCTGCGTAATTTTATATTCAGAGGTAGATCCAGTGCCGCGTGAGCGCAATTCTCGCACAACCTTAGGAAAATGTGCGTCAGTAAAAAAACTCGGCATCGCACGCATGTTATCAGAAATGAGCGGGCCATTTAAGGATTGACTGTGTATTTTTTTCGGTTCATTGAGGTATGAATCGAAAAACCGATGTGCAAACTGTAGCGGATTCTTACAAAGGTTTGCACATCGGCTTTTCGATTCATACCTCAATGAACCGTTAAAAATACACAGTCAATGCTTATAACTAAATTCGACAACGTAAAACATGTTTTATCTACAATAGTTTAACCAAAAACAGTTGTATATATCAAAACAGACTAAAATGACGAGAATGATAAACGTTCCAGGTGTAGGAATACATGTACATGCTGTGGCGTGACATGAATCAGGTGATCGTTTAATTAAAGCACATAACTTGACACGCCTACACAGTATGTAGCCAATCAACGGAGAGTAGGATCAAAACAATGTTCGTTGGACCTGTCAATTAAGGCAAGAGGCGAAAAGAACTGCAACAGTCAGACTGTAATGACCTGGAAGAAATATGAAGAATTGTATCAAATAACATGGTCAGTTACCGACAGATTCAAACATTACTTCCCTGACTACGGTAAAACACAGTAGGAAAAATACTAGTCAGAAAGGAAACACGAAGACATGAAAGTTGAACCGGGGCGTGCGGGAAAAAAAACAGGCGAGCGAGCCTGCATGTTTACTGTTTCATTCATTCTCGGCCTTCGGTTTCAAAGGGTAGTTTGGACAATGAATATGCATGAAAGTCGCTTAATGTCCTGTGCATGACGATACACGTGAGCAGAAAGGGAATTACCTCGACTGTAATATTAGGATTCCCCGACATTCCGCAGTAATAAAAGGGAAATGAATGCAATAACAAGTGACCAATTCTGCTAATCAGAATGCAGGAATTTCAATGAACACAACGACAATTTAATTATTGTAACTTGATAATGACCTCATATTGCTTGACGGCGGGCCATTAGCACGTCCTTTTTTAGGTGACGTCATATTGATGTTCAATAGTGACGTCATCTGGTTTGTTCTATGACGCTTCCTGTTTGTAAACGTGGGTGAGTGACATTCGTTGTGTGCTGATTGCAGTAAATGTTTCAAAACCGATATTGTTGATTATTTTTTATTTGATAACAAATTCTATCCATTTCAACTATGATAACGGTAACGCTATTTTTCATTGCATTATCATTTGCAGTAGACCTCGGTCTCTTCAACTGCCCTCCTTCGTCCGGCAGTTAATGGAAGACCTCGGGCTGAAAAACATGAAAAATAGCGTTACCCTTATAGTATACAAATGTAATGAGTGACAGCAGAACAGCTTCGAGACATCATGTATGGCGCTGTTAGGAGCCACGCAAATTCATGTTGTTAGAACCTTTGTGCTTGGTTGCAAGAGTGTCCGTCGCTACATTGCCGCAAGACTGGCGATCATTAAACCGACCAAGAAACGACCGCCCACAGGTCACAATCCCTCATGGGGATCTCTATCCCCGCACATGGCAGTTACGCAATAGGTTTACTGACAGTGATGTCATCAGTTTCGACGTCATTGCGTCAGCGCATCAGCACGCTGTGTACGCCTGGAAACTCAGGCTTACATACATTTCTGGGGTGTGGCTGGGCAGCTTATATGTGGGGTTTGTTGTGTGAGATGATTGCCGCTGAGTGAATGACAAAGGGTGCTGTTTCAGCTTGTTTCATGCTGACGGAAGATTCCGAGTCTACTGCCAGAAAGGTAAAAGGGTTGCTCCAGGCGCCATGCTGAAGGTTCATCTCAATGTACGTGGGTTTGTTTATTTGTTTGTTTGTTTGTTTGTTTGTTGTTTAACGCCGCACTCAGCGATAATACAGCAATATGACGGCGGTCTGTAAATAATGGAGTCTCGACCAGACAATCCAGTGATTGACATCATGAGCATCGATCCATGCAATTGGGATACTATGACATGCATCAACCAAGTCAGCGAGCCTGACCATCCGATCCCGTTAGTCGCCTTATACGACAAGCATAGATGCCTTTTACGGCAAGCATTGGTTCTATCCCTGATCTCCAGGGGGCCAATGTACGTGGGAGTGACACGCTGTGGTGAGGGATTTGCGGACAAACTAAGACCAAGCTGGTGGTTATGAGAAAAGAAATATCTTTAAAATGGTACTGGGATCAGGTTCTGCAAGCAGGAGCAACAGTGACGGTTAATCTAAAATGACAACGCCCATACCACTAGGATCACCCAGGACTTCGCTCTTTAGCTATGTACTGCATGTTCACTCTTTCACCTTCTCAAATTCTGTTGGATCACCCAGGAAGACAAATAAGACAACGTGTTCTTGCCTCTCACCGTTTCTTGCTGGAACAATACTAACTGAGGGTTGCAACGCGTCCATGGTGACATCATCGGGTGCCTAACATTCTTCGTGACACCTCGTCTTCAAACTTGCCATGATTCCCAAGGAAGCCATGGGAGATATTGCGACTTTATTTGAAGTCTTTGAAAGGACCGGGTCATTTTACATGACTGATCTGCGTGCATGTAGTTAGATGCCACCTGACAGAACCATGCTGCATGTATGTTGAAATATTTCACTTTGTACCATTGCTTCATGTGTATACAGGAACGCGTGTGTGGTCATCCAAGTGAACTGAAGCTGGAGACTAAAGTTGTGACTTACTTGAATCACATGCCCATGTATCTGTAAACAAGTTGGATCTACACTGGCAAACTCCGAGAAGACAGACTGTTCCCATAGCCAGACAGCCCGCATCACTGCTGCAACTGGAACCAATTTGCTTCTCGCCTTCAACAGATTGAGGAAACCAGATACACAGTAAGTGCTCTGTTTGGATATTAAATATTTAGCCTATATTTTCGCCTGCATGAAAACTTGTTAAATTAAAAAATACCATTTGCATAAGCAATAACCCCGCCAAATCCCCATGAAGATCCGGGTCTTCAGCATCCCATGCTTGTCCTAAGAGGCGACTGGATTGAGTGGTCAGGCTCACTGACTTGGTCGATGCTTGTCATAGTATCCCAGTTGCGCAGATCTATGATGTCAATCACTAGATTGTCTGGTCCAGACTGGCTTGTTTACAGATCGCCGCCATACTACTGGAATATTGCTGAGTGCGCCATTACACAAGACACAAACTTACGATCAATGTCCACTTGCATCTACGAATCATTAACTGACATCCAAACATGGCACATGCATTGTCTTATATAAATCATAAGACGGTAATCATATATCGTTTCTGTATCATTGCATGACCTGTTTTTTTTTCCATGCATATTAGACAATAGTGTGTTACACAATGGTGTAACCATGAAACGTGGGGCGGTCGGGTAGCCTAGTGCTTAAAGCGTTCGCTCGTCACGCCGAAGACCCGGGTTCGATTCCAGACATGGGTACAATGTGTGAAGCCCTTTTCTGGTGTCCCCCGCCGTGATATTGCTGGAATATTGCTAAACGCGGCGTAAAACCGTACTCACTCACTCCCAATAAAACGTATCTATATTTTCATGCAATGACGATGCATAGATAAACAGGACACAGAAGTCAGGCGGGGGCTTCGTCATGTTTTGTTTTTTTTCTGATGAAATACTGTCCACAATGTCATAACCTACCTTTGCACGTCAGGTACAGTTTGTTTCCAGTTTCTGTCGAGGTGTTAACGAGATGGGGAGACGTGAAGGTGGACGCGTGCCCTCGGCAGCTGTTGGTGTTCAAGTTGAATTGATAACTGAAGCAGTTGGTGTCCAACAGACAGAGACGGAAACAAAGCTGGGGGTGCGGCGCCGGCCTAGACCACAGGTGATAGTCCAATACGACGAGGTTATCAAACGCCGGTGAGTTAGTCACCAAACAATCATCACACAGGTCGACTGACAAAACGTTATATGAAAATAAAACCATCACCATCAACACCAAATGGTCATGAGTACTAGTATGTTGTATCAATGTTGGTGACAATGCCATATTGTGAAGCAGGCACTGCGTTTTCTTGTGAAATAAGGGTCTCATAGAATTCTGAGATTCCTGGTTCCTGAGGTCCGCGGTGACCCTTTCTCTCAGTAGACGTGTACGTGGTACCCCAGGCAGATGGTCATTAATGTACCTAGGTCTCAGTTTGTCTTGCTTGTAACTAATGGTCACAAGCTGATTTTGTCTGTACACCCACAGCCAATGGTAGGCTGTGTAGATCTGTAAAGTATGCACTTAGTTAAGGTGTGACCTAATATTATCTGATGCTCCGTACGCCGCATCATCAGGATATAGGTAACATATATATCCTCTGAAACTTTGTAATCTCCATCTTCAGTGGCAGCGCAGGGTTTGTCCTGGGTGTGCAATCTGACCTCAGTTACTGTGTCTCCGATATCCTCTAATATTAATTCTCGGTTACCGTGTACCTGTTGTCCATGGTACCCATATAAATGTACCACACGAAACGGTGTATATTTCAAGTATTATCGGCAAAAGTGTGGCATGTGTTTCACGATCCCATGCGTGTTCGTACGTACCGAATAAAATAAAGGCACATATGGTGTGTGCGGTCTCAACGCTTCATCGCCAACTCTTTTCACATTAGCAACCACGCTTTACATCTCATGCCACCCATTGGTAGAGATCTGTTTATGGTAAATACGAGAACGTTTTCATTCACACAATACAAGATCAATGCAAACCCAACTATATTTCGTTTTGGTTTTGTTAGATAAGCATAAATATGAACAAGTAATATTGATTGTCAGGTGTCGAGTTGGTTGTATGATCAGTGTGAGAATATTTATGTTATTAACAAACACTCCTAACATTCCTTCCTATCAAATAATTCGATTTGTCCAAGAGAGAGGCCACTTTCATGGCAAGAACGATTGATTCGTCTCTTGTACTATGAGAATTTACTTAAGAACGGGAAATATATTGAATTTGATTCCAAGTAAAATGGATAAAATTATTGATTCATTAAACCGCACGCATTTTAAGAAATGAGCGGGCCACTGTAACTTGATAATGCCCTCATACTGCCTGATGACGGGCCATTATCACGTCCGTTGTTAGGTGTCGTCATATTTGTTCAACAGAGACGTCATCTATGACGCTTCCGTATTTGTAAACGTGTGCCACTCTGAATGAGAAGGCCTAGCTGTGATAACTGTTTCCAGTTGCCAGGAACCGAAGGGTGACAGCAAGCTTCAGCCCAGGACTCAAAGATCTTCTCCAATTAGGACCTTGTTTGGTCAATCCGAGTGTGAGTCTTAGGACTGTTATAGTGCAAACCATTTCAATATTTTTATTTAAAATAGTGCAAACCATTTCAATACTTTTATTTTACATTTCATTTATCTAAATACCTAACTGGTTCAATATGTTTCCAAGTGCACCGAAATTCTATGCCCTTCGTCTGTTTAATATATTCAGCAAACATTCGGCGTATCCCCTCTTATCATAAGCCCCTCCGGGCAGGACCCTTAATCTCCAGCGCTATCTATACATTTCAGTTAACACCTCCTAACGTCGCCGGATCTTACGTATATACATACACGTGGGGCAATGACCTTGCCACACGTTACGTAATACCTCGATCTACAAAAGCCGACTGACATGGTCCGTCAGGATGGGCATGGCTTCAGCCCTGCACAACCAACAATCTAAAAACAACAATAAAATCCTAATTCTCACCGACTCCCTTAGTGGACTACAAGCCCTCCAAAACAAAAATACCAAAAAACGACCTGAATTAATAAACCAAATACTTAAAATCTCCAACGACCTAACAAAAGCAGGCAAACAAATAACCTTCTTGTGGATCCCCGCCCACGTAGGAATTTACGGCAACGAAAGCGCCGATAAAGCAGCTAAATTATCTCTCAAAAAACCAGAAATAAGCCTTAACCTACCCATCTCAAAATCAGAAATTAAAAGTGTAAACAAACAAAAAATAACCAAAAAATGGCATAATCAATATCAAAACTCAAATAGCCAAATCAAAAAAGTGCTCAGAAAACCACTAGCCAAACCTAAAATCCTACACCCCTCTAAAAAAATTGACAGATTAATTACAAAACTCCAAACAGGACACACGAACTTAAATAACCACCTAAAAAAACTTAAAAGACACACCACAGGCAACTGACCCCACTGCAAACAACCCGAAACCACAGAACACGCACTCATCCACTGCACCCACTACCAAACACACAGAACCACACTACAAACCACCCTCAATCTAAATAAGGTTCCTACCCTAGATGAAATACTAAACCCTCAAAATAAACTAGAAAACTTCAAGGCCATAAGCGTATTCCTAATCAAAACAGAACTAATTAAGCGCATCTAAAAACTCATTAATCTACCAATCCAAAATCCAATAAACATACAAACACCCACCTCACCCGGCTTCCTTAGTTCCCTCCTCCACCCACCTTGGCATTTATTCCAAATTTAAAAATTCCAAAAATTCAATATAAGCAACCCCTAAAAGCCCCCTCTTGGGTTGCACACACCACTTTCACCCTTTTCGGAATACACTAAATGGTCCGGCCAGGCCCGTGTGCGAAATACGCTACAGTCGGAAAGCGCACGTTAAATCTCGTATATCAGTCAGTCAGTCAGTCCGTCAGGGAGACAGCCAGAAGGTAAGTGACAGAACGGTTCTCCCACCCGGGAAGATTGGCCACCCGGTCCCGGTGTGCGTTCTGTCACGTTATTATCAACCTTTTCGACTTATTCCTAACCATCAACAATAAACATGGCTGCTGTCGTCTTAAACTTCACCCCTGAGTTTTGTCTTCCGTCATCACCCTGAGCTACCATCCGAGGGACGAAACTTACGCACCTGGACAGAACGAAACATGATAGGCTCCATTCTGAGGTAGCCCACGAAATCACCCCGACTTTCTCTCACCAACTCTGGCATCATATCCTCATAGTCTTCTAGCTGTGGGCTTCCTGCGATCCAATGCCTCAGCCAATACTGCCTTCGCCTTGTCCTTCTCATTCTTCTCTACACCATCATGGCAGCAACTGCTGCATGTTGATTTATTCTTTGCAGGTGAAGCAACTGCAACTATTCTGCTGTTAACATCTTGACAACTTGCAAAGAAATGATTTCATTCAGAAAAGCACACTTTTATATGCACTATGTTTTGATGAGTGATTGGTCGACAACTAGTCACCGAACAGTCCCCGTTTAGTTGCAACAAGTCGCCGAAGATTCGCTGACTAGTCACCGATCGGTCTCAACAAGTTGCAAACATTTCGCCGTAACTGCGGTAAACAGTTGCCGACCAATCACTGACCAGTTGCAACTCCTAGCGCTGATTGATCGGTGATCATACCCTAATTCCAAATATGGGCAGAAGTTGTTGCACCGGTCTCAACGATCGCCAGTCGGTCGCAAAGGAAATCAGTCGCCAAGAGGTTGCATCGAGGCCGCATTGTCTGTGTGACTGTAGCTAAAGTTAACCTAATGAAGCTTGGCGATTTATAAATATGGTCCCTCCTGTTGCAATCGTTATGACGGAAAATGTAGGCCCACATTTTGAAATTGATAACGAGCTCTTATTAAGCAGCCTAATGAAGCTAGTAGGCAATATTACAAATGTTCGCCCACTTATTTCGATCACCATATATGACAGGAACAATGTGGGACCGTATTTTAGAGGGGGAACGGGTGGCTCCAGTCGCCTAAGGAGCCGTGATTCGCCGTGCAGAGTTGCGTCCCTTGGGCACGCCAGAAACCTATGATTGTGGGTTCGAATCCCGGTTCGCCCCGATTATGTTTCTAGGTTTGTCAGCACCATACCTGTGCTCGCAGGTTTCACCGAATTGGTAAACGTCTTAGGCCTGCATCACTTCAGGAATTCCTCCCACATTAAGCTGACACGCCGCAATATAACTGGAGTACTGTTAAAAGCGTCGTAAAAACTCACTCACTCACCACGTTATACGTTACTTAACTTTTAGAAAATTGCTACCAGCACTAAACCAACCAAAGAGGATGTACATATTACACTCAATGTATGACAACTATTGATGTGAGCCCACCTGCAGTCATCTCTATTCAGAAAATAAAATGGGTCCATATTTGTTGAAAACTAATATTAACGAGTTATTATTTCATTGGCAAGCACCGTTTTTAATTTTCTGCAAGTTACGGCTGGAAAGAAAAATATATAATGTTTTCAAACATTTAATTAAGAATAAGGTTTACCTTAGGGGTTAGATGGCTAGTTAATAGTTGGACCAACGACAACGTTCAGCGTGACTGACGCCATTTTTCGCAAATACGAAAACAACTTCTAAGTCTATCGGTCACTCAGATCCGTAGTACGTCGGGCATACGTCTTTAAAATATAATGAAAAGACATATGTACATAGATATGAATGAAACTGACGCAATCAATTAATGTTAATAATTATTTATTTTTCGGTTGTGGCATTTCGTGCACAGTCTGCTTTGACAGCGAGATGAGCCATCAGTAAGCATCTGTTTATTCCCAGGAATGTCATACACGAGGTGCAGATATGGATCTATCTTTTCACAGGGGATAAATGGTTCACGTTACACATCGGTAATCTATAAGTTGTTATGAAAAGACACGGTTCTACCTATAGCTAATAGCATTCTGAAATGATCCAAGATCCAAGTGCGTCCTTGTGGAAATAAACAATACTGATTGCAATGTAAGGTTGTACGAGTAGCGAGGTAATTCTCACCTCAATGGTCGTGAATTTTATCTAGGAATAAAAAGCAAGTGCGTTTTATTCAAACATTTCATCTGAATGGGAACAGCTGTTATTATGAAGGAGAAACATGTATTGCTTCAGTTTTAGAGGCAACCAAGTTCCCGTGTATGGAACCACAGAGACCTGCATGATACTCCATAGTATGCACATTAAGTACTTGCTATTGGTTGTATGGCTCCAATACACCGTTCAATTCTCAATCTGGAATAGAGTTAATATATTGTTTTAAGGCTGCATAAAATCCCGTTCAGACACTTTGGGCGCCCCGCTCCTTGTTAAGGCAACGTGGCGTCATCTAGCAGCACAAACTTTAAGTCTAAGAAGGCGATCATGTGACGTGCTTTATGTACAAGCGCTACAACAGCCGTGAACGGTTAATATTACAAACACATGGACTGCTGGTGGCAATCGGACAGTTCCAGTAAGAGATGCGCTTTTCATATAGCTGGAATATTGCTGAGTGTGGCATTCAACAACAAACAATCAAATCTTTTCGCGAACACCTGGTGCCATCACTGATTTTCTGTGATCCATTCGTTTCATGTTCACCATTATTTCACCTTTAAGCTTAATGGAATCTTTTTCAGCAGATAATCGAGACCGATCATTCCCCGACATTTACATGAACTGAGCAGTTCTTCCTGCTGATGGACTAAAGTCCCCGAGTTTCATCATAATCTCAGTCGCATTTATGACGTCAGCTACAAAAGACATGTTAGGCCAACGTCACGTTGTGTGCTAACCCACTTAGAC